GTTTTATTATGTTTGTATTGTAATCTAATATTTTGTGTTGTTATGAGAATTTTTTAATAAGTTACTTATTAAAGACTTAGTAAGTTTTTGAAATAATGATTAGGTAAAGAAGATTAACTTATAGGCTTATTAGGACAGGGTGGCTAGCAGTCCTTGAAAACTTGGAAATGTCCTGGATTTTGCTAGGTTCTTGAAAAGTCCTGGAAAAACACCTCTTTCAACAATAAATCTTGGAAATCCTTGAACTTTTATCTGAAATACTGCAATATTTCTTTAAATTTTTTTTTACCTTTTACAGAAATATTAATATTGTCTTGATTTCTACTGAATTTATTAATTATGTATTTTCTGACTTGCAAGTAAGTTTTTGTTAACTGTTACTGTCAGTATTACTAACATCTAGTAATTAATAAAAAAAAAATTATTAATATAATGCCTAACACAAAGAGCTGTCATTTTCAAACAAAATGGCTATACAACAAAAAGTATTCTTCTGGGTAAAATTTGTATTTTAAATTCTAAAAAAGCAAGCTATAGTTGGTGCAGAACGAATATTAATATTTCTAACATGGGAGTATCTGCCTTGGATTCTCACCCAACTGGTAAAAAGCATAAATTTAGTGCAAAGACAATGCATCAGATATATTCTTTACTGGTAGTTTATTAGTTTTTTATTTTAATTTAAGTTTTTTTTTACTTTTATTACAAATATGTTTTCCTGCTTAAATTTAAATGAATTATATTCAAATTTTCTGATTCTCTGACGGCACAATATCATCAAAGTTTGCATTTAGTTTACCAAAGATTGAAGTAGAGAAATCAAAGAACCAACTAGAAGTAGACCAAAATGACATAGGAACAGCACTGAAATGCTAAATTCTCTTCATTGTTAACCATAAGAGAAAACTAGAATTTAAGAAAGAATGTAGGCAGATTATCATAGTGTTATTGCAAAAATTAAAAGTATTCAGCATTGTGGAAAGTTTGTGCTATCATTTTTGTTTTATCTCATGGCCAATAGGCAATAGTGAATAGGGATTTAGTGTTAACAAGCAGTTGTTAGTATCTACAAGAAATTTACAAGAAAGATTTCTTGTTTCCCAAAGAACAGTTTATGACCACATCAATTCCCATGACATTGTTATTCATCAGTTATTCATTCATGAGCTTCCCGGTGATCTTTTAAAAAGTTGAAGGTTAGCTTAAAATAGGTACAATTCAGTGTTGAAGGAAAATAAGGATCAGTTAAAGGTAGACAAAGTAAGCAAGAAAGTTAAATTGATGGATGAAGAATTTGTAATTATAAAGAAACAGAAATTCTTTTTTGCAAAATGTATCAAAGTTCTTAAAACTGATGCTGACAAGCTAAGCATTGAAGCAGAAGAAAAGCAAAACTTCACTATCCTTACAAAAGCAAATTCTTTTATTAAAATTGTGTTTTTAAATTCCTTTAAAAACACAACTTTAGAAAAAGAACTGGCAATTAAAAAGCTTGATATTTCACTAAAAAAACTTGAACAATCTAAGAAAGAGATTAAATAGAAGTGTTTGATAACCTAGTGTATCTATATATATGCAATGTAAAATATTTTTTAACTTGTATCATACTATATACAACTATATTACAACATATATTTATATATAAAACATGTTTTGAAGACAATATATTTTGTTTTTTTCTGGTCGAGAAAAGATCAATATATCATTGAAAAGCTCTAAATTATCCTTGAAAAGTCCTGGAAATATCCTGGAATTTATAGGCTTATACCGCAATTATAGGCTTATAACGAACTTATAGACTTATAACACAATTATCGGGATAACCAATTAAAAACACAAGTTGTGAAAAAGATAAGAAAATGTTTAAAAATGTTTTTAAACCATCTTAAAAGCTGTGGTCAAGTTATTGAAACAAAAGAAATAGTTTGCAGTTGTATGCCTTTTCTGACTAAGGCTGAAGTTGATATAATTCCACTGTTTTTTGTTCTAGCTTTCATATCGTTTGCTTTGTAACTAACAATAATATAAATTTTTTTAAAAGGATTTCAACAGATTTTAAACCTTTTTGTAAATATTCTTGTAATATATTTTTGTAATAATTAAAAGTTTGATACAAATATTAATTAAATGATATATTCATTAAAATGGCATACAGTAATTTATATTGTATACTCATTTTACTCAACTATTCATGAAAAATTTATTGAAAATGTTCTAGAACTTTTAAATGATGGTGACTGACATTTAACCATGTAGCCTACCTAATGTGTATAGCAATGAAGAATAAATGTATATAATTTTTTTTTTGCAACTGTTTGCAACTGCAATATCTATTTTAATGGTGTATACTTAGCAAAATCTGTTATCGTGGCACTAGTTTGGAATTAGTAAAAATATAAGGTCTCCGCTTCAAGGGATATTTTTTTATTATTGATTACTCTAGATACCTCTTTTTTTCATAGGAACAAGCTTTTTGTTGTCATATTCAGTTTTATACAAAATTCATAAAGTACTCTGTATTTGCACGATCGTTAAATAAAATTGTGAATTTAATATATTACAACAAATTTCATCTATAAATTAAAGTATCGTAAACCAGTGGCTTAGGAAGGTCAATAAAGTTAGGTGGGCTGAAAGAAATAAGGGGGGCTAAACCAGCCAGAATAAAAATTAAAATGAAAAATGGGAGTTTAGGGTTGGTTGGGGGGGGGAATGATTGTCCCCTTTGCCCCCTGTTTCTCCGCCAGTGTGGTAATCATATTAAATTTAAAGCAAAGATAAAACATTGTAATTGTAAATTATTTATAAAAACTGCACTGTAACTATACCAATAATAATTCAAATTAAAATAACAAAATTGTTCTAAGAAAGAATGTAACTTAGATATCATGTTTAAAGCTTGAAAATTTTAATTAATGAATTGCTACATGTGGAAGTTGAATGTAACTTAGATATCATGTTTAAAGCTTGAAAATTTTAATTAATGAATTGCTACATGTGGAAGTTGAATTCTATTAGAATTTGATACTGGTTTTCTCAAACTGCTAATATATGGATTAGATGAACATAGTAGTCGTCTTAGTAAGTCTTCATTTTTAAATTGTGAACATTTTAGTCATAAAATTTCCAGAGTGAAGAATACTTCACTCTGGACATATTATGACTAAAATGTTCACTCTTTAAAAAAAAAATTTGTTTGTTGCTTCTTGAGCTTCTGATAGCATGCCTAATGAAAGAGACATTCTTCTTATAACTGAATGACCATGAAAAATAATTTTATGAGCACTTGCTGGCATGTAATACCATCGAAATAAATTTACATAAGTGCGAGCAACTTGTAAACAATACTCTTGGAATTTATCAGCATCAGCATATAGACCTCAGGATAATGTACATAGGATCACAAAGAAGTTGTCAAGAAGAGTTTTTGGTAAGCCAATTATGTTAGATACTTTTTCAGATTCCCTAAAGAAACTACATGCAGTGTTGCCATCATTACTAGTGCAAGAGCCATTAGTTTTAGCTGTGTCAACAATCAAACCAAGTTCTTCAATTAATTTGCGTTAAAGTTCATCTTTTTTTTTAAAAGTTTTTCAACAGCTCCATATACTCACTAAATACTCCATTAACTCAAGTTTTTGACTTTCAATGAACTGATCCTCTGCTTTGATGACTTCATTTGTTTCTTTTACATACATTCACTAACAAGTATAGTGAAAATAGCATAAATAAAAAACCTGCAACTCCTAAATATAACTTGTTCCTATGCAAAATAAAGTATCCATAGCAACCAAATAATAAAAAAATACCTTCAAAAAAAGCCCGGACCTCATATTAGTACTCGTGCCAAATTTGATGAATATAGCACTAATTAAAAATTAGTTTTTAATTTAGTCTCAAAATTTGTCATTCTTGCCCACTGTGCACTGCTGTTGCTGTTGTTGCTGAGCAAATATAAAATTAAGATAAAAAGTTTATCAGTAACGCATACAAAAGGGGTTAAAGTTTTCTTTTCCTCTTCTTTTTCTAACACTTCTTTATGCTTAATGTTTCTTATTGTGTCAATTTTCTTTACTATTTGTGAAGTTCTATTAGAAGGATTTTCCTTCTCTTTTAATAAAATAATTATTGCTTAGTTTGTACTTGCAAATATGATAAGTAGTGCTTATATCAGAGAGCTTTTGCATCATGCCTTTTTGAGACATTTTTTGGTGTATTGCTAAAAACAACAACAACTTTTGTTAAAAATGAAAATCAAATAATGAGAATTTAAGTTATGCAATCATTAAGTTCAAAAAAATCAATGAAAGAAAATTAACATCATTTATTTAAAAAATTTCAATGTCAATTTTACTAAAGCAGAATAATATGATGAAGATTATGTCAACTAATTTATTTTTAGGTTTTTTACAACTAATTTTTTACAAATTTTAAAAGGCTGAATTTTAAAAACTAATTTTTTATACAAGGTTGTTTTAGCGTTGGGGGATTACATGAGTATTCAATGTCATGCTTGCATTGGTGGTACAAATATAGGTGAAGATATAAGGAAACTTGATTATGGTCAGCACATAGTTTCTGGCACACCTGGAAGAGTTTTTGGTAAGTACTTGTATTTAAAAAAAGTTAGTACACTTTTTTGAAACTAATTTAGAGAATATTACTTAGATATATTAAATGTATTATAGTTATTATAATCATTTTAGTACAACTATTTTGTGTATAAAATTATAAAAACTCTACATAACAGTATTTCTTTTGCATTATTTATGTAAATCTTACCGTTGCATACAGCCATTTAAATTGGATGGGTTTTAGTTTGTCATGGTTATACTTAGCTGATTACAGACCAGCAAAATTTTCTATCTTTAGAGTTGTGTTTTTAAAATCCAGAGCTTGGTGAAAATGTAATATAATTTGTAATATATGTTCAGCCAAGATTTGTCATAAACTGTAAGGTTCACTTACTAAATAGGGTAACCTAACATTTTTGGTGTTTCAGAAATTAATGGACTAAAACTGAACCAAAATTTCAATAAAAGTTTGATCTTACCAGCAAACCTATTATGATGGCAGTGTTATCACAATAAATATTACAAATAAATAAATAATTTCTCTTGTTATTTCTATATAATTTTTTACTTTTCTATAAAATTCTTTATTGTTAATGTCTGTTTTGAAATCTTAACAATTGTAATCAACTTTTAAAAGCGTTTTTAATTTTAATTGTATTTTATAGGTCAGTAAAAATGTTTATTTACAAATTGATTCACATTATGATTTATTTTATACCTATGTGAAATTTAGGAGTACAATTATAAAATTTTTTCACATGCCAAGACTGTGAAGATGGCTCTTATTTGTCTGTTAGTTTAGGCTCTTGACCTCTAACATTTGAACCTGTCTGCTTACTTTTTATCACATAAACCTTTTTTTAAGTAAAAACAATTTTTCCATATATTTTAGATATGATAAAGAGAAGAAATTTGCGAACAAGATCTATTAAACTCCTGATTTTGGATGAATCTGATGAAATGTTAAACAAAGGTTAATGGTTTTTTTTTTAGTTAAAATGTAATTTGATTTACCTTTAAAAGAAATAATAACATTATTAGATTCACTCTTTAAAGAAAAAAATAAACTAGACCTTTTGATTTCAAGTTGTCAAGAATAATGAGTGACTATTCTGTATTGTGCCTACTTTTTTAATACTCTGTATTTTTTTACTATTCTGTATTCGGTCAAATACTGAATACCAGATTGCAAAAATAAAAATGCATAAAAAAGGATTACACAGAGTTATTTTTTTAATTTTTTGTTTTAACAAATAATTGGCATATTTAAAACTTTAAATATAGGTAGTAAGTTATGATAGAAAACATTTGATTATTGCAAACAATTGCAAATTCCTCCTAAATTATACATACTTCCAAAAATAGCCATTCACCATGTACACTGCCACTGGCAAATAGTAAGAAAAATTTAGCAAGTTATGTTTAGATGTTTTGCATTTGCTTACTAAAACTTGTAAGAGCAAAATGTTAAAACTAATTTCATTTGTAATTTGACTTTTCTTTTCCACATGTGTGCATATTTTTTGTAGAGATTGGTTTGATCGTTTTCATTTGTATTTCTTTTTATTATGAAGTGGAGATCAATTATCATTGGTGCTACTAGACACTGGCGATTGTTCATTGGTGTCAAGCAGTTTTTCACTTAGAAAGATTAACCACTGACTTAATTTTTTACTCTGATAAAGATTTCGTGGTTGTGACGTATGGCGCCATGAGAAAGATTGTGATGTGTGACACCCAGCACAATCTTTCTCAGAGTTCAGATCTTCTTTTGTTTTGCTTGCTGTGTTTTAACTAATCCCTTGAAATTAATTTTGGAATGTGCATCTATAAAAAGGCTACGGTATATATGACATTTCCATTAAAGTTAAACAAAGCTTAAGTTCAGTTTGTAATGAAGGTATCATTTTTAATAAGTTTAAAGTTTTTCTGTTATCTATCTATCTATAACAACTATATCTATCTATAGCAACTTTTAAAATTACTTCAGAAATGGAAGAAATACTGGTTATTTTTGTAATCTTTTTGAATGGTTTGAAGAGTAATATACTTTTATATATAGTTATAGTTAAAACAAATTTGATGTATAATAACAAAATAAGTGTTGCCAAATATTCTGTGCTTCGGTTAAGCACCCAGCCGAATATTCGTTATTTGACAAAATCGTTATTTGTGATGTCTCTTCTTTAAAGAAAATAAAGTTTTATATTTAATAAAATAATTTATATTATAAATTTTATGAATTGTTTGCATTAGTTTAAAAAAAAACAAACATCCAGTCACACTCATAAGCTTAGATTAATGCCTTTTGATTGTAATGTTGCAAACTGTGAATGAACTCTAAAGGTTCATGATCAGTTGCTGAACATGATCAAACTTTTTAAGAATTATTTTTTAAGGAAAGTTAAAAAAATTAAAATTTAGTATGCATGTAGCTGTACTAGATTTCACCTTTGATTGTTTATTTGTATAGAAGTCTTATTAGCTTATTTATACTATTTATACTGGTTCATTTTATTATTACTAAATTTCTTTATATTTATTATAATAAATACGTTGATGTTATTTTATCTTCTATAAATGATGCCTTTTTAGCTTCTTTTTTTTTATGACATTATACTCCACTTTTTTCTAACTAAGTTGATTAAAACTATCTATATTATCTAAGGAATTTACAGCTGCTTATTCATGCTTGTTAACACAGAGCAATGGATGTCGTTATCCATTAAAGAAAGAAACAAAAAAAAATTTCAGTACTATAACAAATTTATATAAAAATATCTAGCTCTTTCAAATTATAATTTTATACTTGTAAAAATTCTGTTTATAATTTTTCCTTGGCTTACATTTAGTTCTTTGTACAAAGAATAGAACCCTTAACCAACGTGGTACTTAAAGCAAAACTTTTTATAACAATTGTAGATAACTTAAAAAAAGCGTTAGCTAGACTGCAGGACAGAAAGATAAAAAGACCAAAGTTAATAAATTTGAAAGAAAGAAAGATGTCAGAAAAAAGAGTAAAGAATTAAATCAGTGGCTGAAGATAAAATTAAATCAGATTTTTTTTTTCAAACTTACTCAATAACATAGAATATTGTTAAAAAGCAATAAAACAGTTAGTGGAAGACTGAGAAAAAATGAGTTGCGAAAACAAGAATATGGGAGAATGTTCCAAAGCATTAAAGTGCAGAGAAAAAAACTAGATAATAAAAGTTTTTAAAGCATAAAGAGATAGATACAGTAAAAAGATTTTAAGTATTGTAAAATGAAGATTTTAATCTGTCTAGATAAAGCACTAGTATAAGCGATGCATAGAGATAACCATGTTGTTTTATTTTTTATCTTCATTTATCTTGATGCGACAATCCCATTTACCATGGGCAAAAAGTGTATGAATCTTGGCGGTAAATTTTTCTTTATAGCTATGTTGAGTAGAAGATTTTCTACTTCTGTGATTAGACTCTTTAACATGCTGCTGGTGAATACTCTTTAGTTTAGCTACTACATAAGGCTATTCTATAGTAGGAATAATAGTCTTGAACCAGAAACTTTATCTGCAACTGTGTTGCATTTTATTCAAATTGTTAACTTTTTAACTGACTTGGCCTATCTATTGTTAAGAGAATATGTTAACATTCGTAGTTGAGCATGTTGCATTATCAGCACATGACAAGTCTGAAGCAGCCATCTTCTTAAGTTATAGTTTTTTTCTTAAGTTATTTTTTTACTATAATAGATATAAATTTAATAAATATAAAGTTCTCAAAGCCAATAAAATAATAAAATGAAGAAATCTAAAATGATACAAAACCTAACCAACCTATACCCACCCTACCCCGCCTTCTATGACCACTTATGCCATCACTATTTTTAAATTTATTAAAAATTAATTTCTTAGCTATTGTTTAATCAAGAAGTTTGCAACAAGTTATTATTAGTAAAAAGCTTTCCAATAATGTAATCAAAATATGCATTTGGGAACTCTTGGGGAAGGGTAAATCTAAATTTGCCTGCACATTCCCTCTTCTGTGAACTATATGTTAAAACATTAAAATAATTTTTATTGTTTGTTTTTAGATGAAATTTTAAACAATTTATAACTGGATTTTGTTTAAAATAAACAGAATTTCTGTTTATTTTATACAAAGGGTTTACCATAAAACGAATTCAGTGATTTTTTACTGATCTCCAACACTTTAAGGCTGACCCTAATTCCAAGAACTATATATATATATATATATATATATATATATATATATATATATATATATATATATATATATATATATATATATATATATATATATATATATATATATATATATATATATATATATATATATATATATATGTGTATATATATATATATATATATATATATATATATATATATATATATTTGTTGTATTTTTTCAAATAATCAAACTCTTTATATATATATATATATATATATATATATATATATATATATATATATATATATATATATGAATGAATATATACATATATATATACACTATTGTTTAGCAGTTTTTGATTTTTTCCATAAAATGTAAACTTTGTTTTTTTAAAAAAATTATTTTAAAAGACCAAAATATGATTAAAAACTTTAAAAATAAATAAAAAAAAAAAAGTTAAAAAGAAAAGTTCTCTATAGAAGCTTTGAACCTACAACCTTGTCAGCCGCGCCTCAAAATTTTATCATTGTAACATTCACAGCACTATGTCTCTGGTTTCCTTTATAGAAAAAGTCTAAATCTAAACATTTTTCTCGTCCAAATCATGTTTATATTTTTAAGAACATACAAATGATTTCTTTTCAAACACAATATATTTTTAGTTACACAAAATGCATTTATATTTCTGGATATTTTCCAGATATTTCTTTAAAATGTTTTTGGATTTTTTGCAGATATTTTTAGGAAAAAATTTATATACATGTATATATATACATATATATATATATATATATATATATATATATATATATATATATATATATATATATATATATATATATATATATATATATATATATATATATATATATATATATATATATATATATATATATATATATATATATATATATATATATAATATGCAGGGTTTAAAGAACAAATCTACGATGTTTATAGGTTCCTTCCTCCTGCAACACAGGTAAACTTTTGTTTAAGAATTTTTTATTTTGTAAGGCTACTATGTTTTTATATATAGCAGATAATCATGTTACAAACAAATTACACTACATCTAATATTTTTCCATATTCTTAGTATGTACAACTTGTGATGTAAGAACTGTTTTTAATTTTTTTTATCAAGTGCAAAATGTAAAGATTTCTTTAAATTTTGTGTTCTTTAACAGTCTTTAATTTATCTTTCAATTAACTTAATACTGAATGTGTTTTTAATTGCATTTTAAATATAAATATTTTTTTCTAAGATTTTTTAAAATCAGTTTTTGCTTACTTCTATAATATATTTTAAATTTATACTATACATAATTTTTTTTTTTTAAATTCTTCATCCATTGTTACACACTTGTGTATTTTGTATATGTATTGAGTAGAATTTTTTTGCAATTCAGTATGACTGCAAAATTAATTGATGAATATTTATTTTGTATAACAAACTTTTTGTAAAATGTTTCTATATATTAATAAATGACTATTTGTTACTTTTTAAACCTAATAAATGTAATTTTATTTACATGTACTTCAAATAACACTTTTTAAAAATACATCAACATGCATATAAAGTTTAAACATTAAATAACTTTTTAATGTTTAAACTTTTTAAATTTTTTTTTGCCTTCATACTTCATGTAACATTAAAAAAAATAAAAAATAGAGAAACCAAAAATATCCATTCATGAAAATCTTTATAAAAGCAATACAAAAAGTGTTATCAATTATTTGATTCAGGTTGTTTTGGTAAGTGCTACTTTGCCACATGAAATTCTTGAAATGACGCAAAAGTTTATGACTGATCCTATACGAATTCTTGTCAAGCGGTAAGATACCAGTAGTTACCTTAGTAAAAAAATATTTTTTTTTATTTCTAATATTTTGCTTCTTTTAAAAAAATAGTAATAATAGGATTTCAAAAAGAAAATTTTATCTAACATTCAAGTTTGCATTTTTTTTTTTTTTTTTTGCATTTATAAGATACTAAACTTGACTCATTACTCTTGTAGCATGCATAAGTCTAATGAGAACTTAATTCAGGTATGATAGAGCTTTGTCATAGTTACTTATCATTAATAATGCTACAATGGTAGATTAATTTTGTAATGTTAACTGGAAATCTCATCTTTGTCTATTGAAAAGTTTGGAAAATAAAATAAAAAAGAAGTGGCTAAATTGCATTTTTTATTGACTTTTTTTTCATTTATATTAAACTATTGTAAAAACTCTTTATAAATTGAAAAATAAAAGGTTCATTTACCTATCAATGTCCAATAATGTGTCAATATTTATTTTATATTGCTCATATTTTCAAAATGTTAAATTTTATTTAAAAAACTCTAAATATTTTAACACTTTTAACACATTGCCAAAAGTATAACGTTTTAATATTTCTTGCCCAAGGTACACAAGAATATAACTTTACATTAAAATTGTGGATAATATATATACTTTTTTTATTATAGTGATGAGTTGACTCTCGAAGGAATCAAACAGTTTTTTGTTGCTGTTGAGCGCGAGGAGTGGAAATTTGAAACGCTTTGTGATCTATATGATACTCTTACAATTACGCAAGCTGTTATATTTTGCAATACAAAAAGAAAAGTAGATTGGCTCACTGAAAAGATGAGAGAATCAAACTTTACCGTCGTTTCAATGCATGGTGATATGCCTCAAAAAGAGAGAGATTCAATTATGAAAGAATTCAGATCTGGATCAAGGTTATTATTTAGCAAGATTTATATTTTTGTGTTATTTTTGTGTTATTTAATGTTATTTTTTATAAATAAACACTGTTCCATTATTAATTGTTGATATTTTTTTACATATATATTTTGAATACTTTATTTAGTCGTGTGTTGATTTCAACTGATGTCTGGTCACGCGGATTAGATGTTCCTCAAGTTTCTCTTGTTATCAATTACGATTTACCGAATAATCGAGAGTTGTATATTCACAGGTATTTGAATAAAATAAATGTTTAGCTGATGTGTTGAATAATACTGTTAAGTATTACTTATGTATACTACAGTGTATGGATAGTTTTAAAATATCGTCATTACACATAGTCTATTTACGATGGTATTTTTATACATTTTTTATAAAATAGCAGCTTAATAAAATTTTTGTAATTTTCTCTTCTTTTTTTTTGTTAATGATGTTTTTTTATTTATTATTAATGTATATCAGGCGTATTATGCATTCTATGTTATTATGCATTCTATGTTATTATGCATTCTATGTTTTTATGTTTTTAGAATCGGTCGGTCAGGTAGATACGGGCGTAAGGGTGTTGCAATTAATTTTGTCAAGTCTGATGACATACGTGTTTTACGTGATATAGAGCAGTACTATTCGACACAGATTGATGAAATGCCTATGAATGGTACGTAATTTTTAAAAATTTTAAACATTTCACTCCCACTTAAAATATCACAAACTGCATTAATTTTTTTCTTTTTTAGTTGCTGATTTGATTTAACTTTCACGCAGAGGAATTCATTGTATACTCCCATACAGATGACATATTGTTTTGCGGTTCGGTATTTTAACGTCGACATTTTACAAATGTGAAAAAATTTAAGACGAAGTTTTAAAGCTAACTTATGATCACTATGTACATTTAATTTTGATATAAAGTTCTTCTTGAAGCTCCTATTTAAATTTATTAAATTGGATAAGGTGTAAAACAGCAAGTGTAAAAATATCAAGTTAAAAGGTTATTATAAAACATTTTTTATACCTTACTTTTGTAAATCGTAGTAATACGATGTTTTCTTTCTACAGTCCAGTGGTGGAAGTGGATATAGCTTTAAATTCCCAGTTTAAATCCCTACATGCACATGCACGAAGTAGCAACAAAAGATTTTTTACACAATTTTCAATGAATTTAAATAAAACTAACAAGATAAATTTATATTTATCTTTTTTTTTAATTAAGAATTAAGGTCTCCAAAAAAAAAATGAATGGAACAATTTAACATTGATTCGCAATAGTTTTTATTAACGTGCTATGCATAAATAGTGTTAATAGTAATGTAGCATTTTAGTATTAATTTTAACTTAAAGATTTGAGTTTTCTGTTGAAAAAATACTTATATTATAAAATCGATAATATATTTTTTTAACATCGATTGAAAAATAGTTCCCCGCATATGATATGATACTCAAACAAGTAGTTAAAATCTTTAGTACTAATCATAAGTTTTAGTGCAGCAAAAAAAAATTTAGTTAAAAGGAATTCTAAATCTTTCTTTAAAAGAAAATAATTTAACTGTCGGAGAGAGGAATAAAAACACTGGTTCTGTTTTTTTCAATCAAATTCTGATTCTGGTCAAATTTCCGTTTCAGGCCCTCCCTCCCCTCCCCCGCCAAAAAAATTTTTTTTTTCTTAACGCTACTGACTAAAAATACTCTTATAAGATGACAAAATCTTTACTAAAATTAAAGTCTTTAAATAGTATTTTATAAAGTATGATAAGTTGTACTTTAATTAATATGATGGTTTTTCTGTTAAAAAACAAGACATCTACGCTCGAATATTTATTAGCTTATAGTTCATACGAAATATGCTGGGTGGGGTGAGTTTCCCGTTAACTACGGTTAGGCCGTTTTAAAATAAATGGCATCTATACTGGTATTATTGCATTCGAAGATGATGTATTATTGCTAAATTCTACATTTAATCTGTAAGAGCTAATTGACAGATTTCAAATCTATGGCGTAGCAAATTTTATCAAACTGAACACTGAGAAAATTTCTTATTTCTGGAACAAGTTCTATTTTAAACAACGTAACTCAAATCAACGGCATTTTATCTTTAAAAAAGATTAAAACACCTTTCCAATAAAATAACTATAGGGAAAAGCGGGGCAACATGGCGAACGTTTTGAAAGTCCTGAGTTATTACAAAATTATCAGTCGTGAAGCAATAATACTTCCTCAGTATGTTAATGTTATTAAAATGATTCATTGCCTGCATGAATTTTCAGTTTGCAAATATAACAATTTGAAATAAATATTAAAATAAAAAATTCGAATATTTGTCATCTGGTCACGTGACTGGGGCAAGATGACTTATGCAATTTTTGCCTTAATTTTTATAAAATTTTAAAAACTACCAATAAAATCTAACTAAAGTAACACAAAATAAACACAAGTCGCAAAAAACTACTTCTAAAGAAGTTAAACTTGAAGGACACCATCCGTTATAAAAAGGAATTTTTTTTAAGCGCAAAAAATAAATGTAAAATAAAATAAATAAAAAGTAAATCTTGTGCAGGAGTATTTGTTTTCGCATCTTTGGTGTTGTGAGCTGTGTAAACTGGCTTTTGTGAAATTGACAGTGTAATTAAGTGTAAGAACAAGCGTGTATTTTAGTGAGAAAAATTTATTCAAGTCTTCCACTACATCTCTGTGGAAAATATGCAAACCTTTTCTTTCTAATAAATCTGGTAATTCGAACGATCGCATAACGTTGAATGAACATGAGGAAACTATTTCAGATAACTTTCAAATTTCAAGCATTTTCAACTTATATTTCACAAAAGTTGCATTGTCTCGTAAATAGTGAGATGAGTTATTGTAATAATAAATAGTGAGATGAGTTATCGTCCTTCTTTTGCTATGTACATGTGTCTGTTGAATCTGCTATTATAAGATGTGCAAACCATCCCAGTATTATAAACATTAAAAACAAATCCAAATTATATCCTCAAAATTTTAAATTTCATCAAACTTTTCTTGATGAACTAACAAAAATTATTTATTCTTTAAATAGTAAAAAGAACACTAGCGGAGATATTCCAACGTTTATGTTAAAAACTTATGTCATGGATTTTAGAGAAAACCTTACTTCTTGTATAAATAATTGCATATTCCAAGGCGAATTCCCGTTCTTCTTAAAAACGGCTAACCATATATATTATACCATATTAAAAAAAAAATGACCATACTAATAAGTCTAAATAAATATTTACACTTATAAGTACTTCCGCCCAATAAATATTCTGCCAGTTCTCTCAAAAGTGTTTGAAATCGTTATTTACGAACAAATACGGGTTTTTATAGAGCCAAGCCTTAACAAATTGCTGTGTGGGTTTCAAAGAGGGTATAGTGCACAGCACGTACTTTTTAATTCAGTTATTAAGTGGCAGTAATGCTTGGATAAAGGAGGTATAGTTGATGCTATCCTTATGGATACATCAAAGGCATATGATTCAATTCCACATGGTTTGCTTATTGCTAAGTTAAAAGGTTATGGGTGTTCTTACGATAGCCTCAAACTTTTTATTATCTTACTTTTTTTCTCGCAAACAGAGTGTCAGACTAGGATTGTCATTTTCTGAATATTTAGATATGGAATCTGGTGTACCTCAAGACTCAATATTGGGACCAATTTTCTTTAATATTTTTATTAACAATTTTTTCTTATTTATAAAAGACTCTGATTTCTGCAACTATGCTAATGACAACACTCTTTCTGTTTGTGACAACAACCTAGAGAGTGTTATTGATATGCAATTTCATGGTATACTTTGAATAAAATGGTTGCAAATCCGGACAAATTTAAATTTTTTTTTAGCTGGCTTAAAAAATTGTAAAGATCAATTTTTAATGGTCGGAAATGTAAAAATCATGGTTTCCTCTAAGGTTAAACTTCTCAGGGTTATATTTGCTAAGGATTTGAAATTTGATGATCATATTAAAAGTCTGTGTGGAAAAGCAAATAGTAAATGCTTTGCTCTTTCACGAATAAGGAGCTTCTTATCAATAAAACAAGCTACTTTTTTTTCAAGCTACTCTGTTTTATTCTATGTTCTTATACTGTAAAATTTTTTATATTTTCCTTTGATTTGGATGTTTTGTTCGAAGTATAATAATAATTAATAAAATTCATCAAAAAAGACTTCGCATTGTCTATAAAATATTTGATCTCCTATTAGAAGAAGTTCAAAAAATAAAAAATATCCAAAGTATCCACCTTAGAAATTTAAGATTTTTGTTAACTGAAGTTTTTAAATCTCTAAATGATTCAAATCCAGATTTTATGTTAGATCTTTTAATTTAAAAAATCCATGCCGTTTAGTTTGTCGCTGTAGTAAAAAATTAGTGCTCCCACCCATAGTCTCTAAACATAAGTTCATAAAAAGTAACATATATAGAGTAACCTGGCTATGGAACTCCCTTGACAATAAAACTATGTCAATAAATTGTCTAAAGATTTTCAAAAAAAGTATTTTATAATGGCACGGAAAATCTTGTTTTTGTTAAATTTGTCGAAAATAATTTTTTTATGTTTTATTTTTTACGTCGAAAATAACCAACTTGTTGTATTTATTGACATTTATATTATTTATTATGTAAACTATTTTTATTTTATTTTATTTATTTTTTATTCACGATTCGGATGTTTTTATTCACGATATGTATGTTTTTATTCACGATATGTAAGTTTTTATTCACGATACGTATGTTTTTATTCATGATATGTATTTTTTTATTCACGATATGTATGTTTTTATTCACGATATATATTGTCTTATACAATTTAGTATGTTGATTTTAATTAGTTTATGTTGGTTATAAAACTATTGTAAACAATCAACTGAAAATGAAGTTTTAAATAAATTTTTAAGTAAATAAAGCGTTAGCGCGATTCGATAAATTTTGGCGATGCGGTAAATTGCGACAGTTAGATAAAAAATCGTGGGCGCTCAGTTACAAATGCGATATTTAGTTAGGTAATCATGATGCTGTCATTTTCATGGAGCGAATTGTTAGGCGGTTTATTGTGAGTTAACTTTTATGGAAAAGTTGAGTGCGATTTAATGCGATTTTTTATCATTTTTTATCGCGTAATCGAAAAAAGTCACTTTTATTCTAACCGCTAATGCGGTAACGTCAGTGCTTAGTCCAGTAGGATGTTTTGTAAAAACGGACTTTTTCTCCTTTTACATGAACAAAATATAGACGTACTACCTTTTTGAAAAAACGTGTTTTTCAGCGTTGTCATCAGTTTCTTTATTTGCAGAACCACTATCATTATTTTCCTCGTGGTTTCTTTTTGGTCTAGCAGTGGTTGTGCGATCAGTCGAAGTAATAAAGAAATGCATCTTTTCAATAGTTCAAGACATAAAATGATTAAAAAAATATCGTTTCGCTCATCTTCTGATGTTTTCTTAGCACATTCGTATTTACATTTTTTTTTTCTTTTAATGATCTTATGAGGTATTTATTTTCCTCTTCGACTTCGGTACTTATTTTCCTCATCGACATTTTCGGAATTTTTTCTTAAACGTTTGTTGAACTTAGAAGAGTATTATTACTTAGTAGATAATAGTATCTCTAGTAAAACTAATAGCAAAACCAGTCGTAAGTAAAATAACAATAGTTCTTTATTATTTTTATAGGAGATGTCATATGGAAAAATCTTCTATTTAAATAAGTGTTTCTAACAATAAATAACAATGTAATATAAAATTTTTTAGATAACCTTAGGGGTTATACATAATCACATTCTTCTTCCTAGATCCCTCTGTGGAAACAAGTAATGAAGTTTTCAAACACGGTTGTCAGAAGTCTTGAAAAGTTGATAGTTACTTGAGTCAGGAAAATATGAAGATGGGAGAGAGTTCATTGAAGTGAAAGTGAAATATGAAGATAAGAGATAGAGTTCATTGAAGTATTGAAGTACGAGGGGAAAAAATAGAGGAATAAAAGTTTTTAGAACATAAAGGG